CTTTTGTGTAATTGGCCATCTTTAACCAGATATTACACTATTTGTAAACAGAACACACCCTGTCTCTTTTCAGATGTTCTGGCTAAGATGCGGATTTGATGTTCCAAAGCTGTGGTATAGTCATCTGGATAGCTTTCTCAATTTTCTCTCTGAATATTAGAGAAAATATTTCACTTTGCCTTTCTTGTTCCTCTTAAGCCTCATTTCTTAGAAAGTAAGAGCTTAGTCACTGCGTTAACAGAATTCAGTCTCTGATATTGAGAAAAACACCCATGTTGGAAGACCAAAAGTGGAAATTCAATTCCATCTCAGAAATGGTCCCTGTGTTGTGTCACTGGGGACAATAGAAATTGAAGCCAGAAGTCCTGGTTTATTTCAAGAATGTTGTAAAAACAGTTGTGCTGTATCAGATGATTCTGTTACGTAGCATTGGGGAAGTCCTGGAACTACACTTGTGTCTGACTTCCCCCTCCACCATCGTATGCCCCAGTCCCCTGGGAACACAGTCTTTCCTAGCTGTTACCATATATATATATATATGTTGTTCTTCCAGTCTGCTCCTCTCTCATCCCCAAAATAATCAACATGAGCAGAACGAAGCAGATGGCACAAGCCTTCTTTGGCATCCTCGCAGATCTGTATCACTCACTCAGTATTTTTAGAATCAAGGGGACTGAAAATTATGTCCTGAGATGTTTTGGGGGTAAGACTTAACTATCTCTCCAGGGTGACAGGTGTTGAAGTTCAGCACTGTATTTAAGACTCAAATGCAATCTCTATGTCAAGTCACAGAACAGACTGACTCTCATCAGGACCATCACTCTGTTGGTTCCGTTAGGATCACTGGTGGTTTGCCAGATAATATAAAGTTGTCATCGTTGTTTTAAAGATGTTGGCCAGAAAGCGCATTGGGTTTCAACCAAAGATTAGAACCATCAGTAAACAGCCAGAACTGATCAAGTGCATGGTGATGAGAGATGTTATATACACACATACAGTTGTTGTTGTTGTTTTTCAATAGCTAAGCTCTGATCCTCAGCCACAGAGTTTATTGCCTGTTGGGGAAAATGGTCTTATTTTTACAGAAGTTTATTATTATATCATGAAAACAAATATTTGTATTCTAAGGCCCATAGTGAAGAAATACATAGTTATGGTGATAAAGATTACTATGAATTTGAGTTCATTAAGGACTTTCTGAAGAAATTTAAGAATATTCACTATCATATAACAAACTTTGTCCTGAGGACCATCTTTGCACTTAGTGTTAGGCTTAGTATATTAAAACACACAGACCTGGCGCCAGGCACAGTGGCTCACGCCTGTAATCCCAGCACTTTGGGAGGCCAAGGCAGGTAGATCACTTGAGGTCCAGAGTTCAAGACCAGAACCTGGTCAACACGGTGAAACCCCGTCTCTATTAAAAATACAGAAAATTAACTGGATGCGGTAGTGGGTGCTTGTAATCCCTGCTACTCGGGAGGCTGAGGCAGGAGAATTGTTTAAACCCAGGAGGCGGAGGTTGCAATGAGCTGAGATTGCACCATTGCACTCCAGCCTGGGCAAAAACAGTGAAACTCTGTCTCAAAAAAACAAACAAACAAACAAAAACAAAAAAACCCACACACAGACCTGGAACTCAAGATAAAGCCTTAGGAAAAGATATCATGAAATAAGCATAAAAATGAGAGGCTTTGTTGTTTGAAGGGAAACCTGAAGTTGAAGGAAATGTGCTTCACCTTGAAGTAAACCAGAGCCGTCTAAAGCTCTGATTGTGCCCTTGGTCTTTGAAGGCTCAAGGGAAATGTAGGTATGGGTGAGGTCCGTGACTGCTGGGCTTTCGAATCTAGGGAAGAAGTGGCTGGAAAGAGATCTGGAAAATTTCATTCAGTGCCAAAGGGCAGTTTTTTCAATTGAGTATTTTTTATTTGCTTTCCTTGTACTCCCACTATGTTTGGTAAGCAATTAGTCAAGGTTTGCATCCGCTGAGAAATAAAAAAGGCAGGCTTTTTACTTGCCACCTCCTGTCCTTTCTGCACGCTTTTCCACACTGTTACTTCCTTCCAATGCGATCGTCGATATGGTGTAGTGTCCATAGGGAGAGGATGTGTCTCTTTCCCATTATACCCATAGCTCAGTGGTTAGAACATAAGCTGTACATTGACACATGGTTCTATAGTACTTTCCATCCCAGTGTTTCATGAATGCTGCCTATTTGTAGGGTGTTTGTTTAGATTCGGTGTGTTTTCAGATCCACTTTGTCCCAGTCGATTGTCCCAGCAGTCTGTTTACATACATCAGGTAACTATCACATGAGGAAATGGAAACTCAGGACATAGTTAACCTGGGTAAGCTGGAATTTGAACTGGGGAATCTTTCCACTGGATTCATAGAACAAGTGACTGGAGTTACAGCTCCAGGGTAAACACCTGAGGCTGAATCAGTAGCACAGTTGTGTCCAAAGAACAACCCTGCCTTCATCTCTTTTGATGGAGAAACCCAGAGTCTGCCTGTTCCATCCAGGACAGCAGCCACTGGCTCGATGTGGCAATTTAAATTAAAGTTAAATAAAGTAAAAATTTCAGTTTCTCAGAGGTACACTTTGAGTGTTCAGTAGCCATCACATATGTGACACTTCCATCATTGCAGAAAGTTCTATTGGACATACTGGTCATCTCATAAAGCAAGAGCTGGGGAGTATCAGTTTACTGAGATAAGCTGAAAAAAAAGTGTCTATGCAGGGAGTTAAGTAGGTGAAATACAAAACCCTCCCCACCAAACCAGCTCCTTGTCTGAAAGGACGAGTGGGACGAGTGCCGTTTTGAGTTCAGCTATAAAGGGAAGGAGAAAAGGATGGATTTTCAAACTTCGTACTGTGTGTGTGATAGTCTTTTTTAATAGACGTGGAAAGAACACAGAGCCGTTCCAAGTGAATGAGTGTGTTTTAGAGCTGGGCTGGTATTATGGCCAGACTTAGGTTGGATGAGAAGTAGAACAGATCGTGATACCTAGCAGAGTAAATTCGGCAGGCGGAATAGAATTCCTAGAAGGAGCTATTTTGTTTGTGACCGGAGCTGTTAAGGTTGCCTCAAGTTAGGGCCTCAGGCATGAACTGGAATACTGGAAGGAAACCAGGGGTTGGGGGAAAGGGGTTTGGGCAGAGTCAGGACAGGTAATCAGTTAAAAGCACAGTTAATTGCGGAGGCTGTGCATGCTGCTAGACTCAAAGCCATCAGAAAGAAGGTTTGGTGCCAACGAGCTGGCTGAGGACACTTGTGTGTCCCCTGGTTTGGATTAGTGCTGACCAAAAGTGCCTAAGTCAGCTTTCAAGTTTCCAAGTAGGTGGGGCAGGATCGTGAGGGGTATTTGCTTGGTACTGTGAACTCTGTCCAGACACTGAACGCCTCTGCAACAGAAGATGAGGAACTCTGCAAGTTTCCTGTAACCTTTGCTGGTTAGAAAAGGAATGTGTGTTTGGTTATGGGTATGTGCTGTGTAATGCTATATTTAAACAGGCTTAAACTGTTATTACAATAAAGTTGCATCTCGTTAGACTCATACTTTCTGATAAGTAACCAAAAAGGTAAGTAAAAATTAACTTTTAACAGTACAGAGCAGCTCTAGAGACATGGCAATAAATGAGTGACTGCAAGGGGCAGGGAAGGCTTTAAGGACTCGTCACGATTGGGCAGTTTACCGTGAGTGCCCTGCTTACGGCAGAGTTCAGCAAATGCTGGCCTGTGGACAAAAGCCACTCAAGTGTACTTCACCTAAGCATACAGTACTCTTAATTTTTTTAAAGTATTGGCACTTGAAAGCTGGGCATTTACCCACCTGAGAATGACTGTCTAGAATAGCACAGGGTGGTAGTGATTCAGGGCTTCACCCTGGCAGGTAGTGGCAGGTAGGCTGATTTGGAACCTGCTGTCAGAGGCCAGGGAGGAAATGTGGGGCGCTGGTCCAGGTCCTGAGAGTGAAGCTAGGAGGAGACATCTCCAAGTATAAGTTTTTGGAACACAGTTTCTCAGCGTGGGTGGAAAGCCACACTTGTAAGTGGAGTATTGTTCATGATGCAGCCTCAGACACTTCAGGTTCCTCCAACGATGGCCAGTTGGTAGAAAAAGAAGAACCTGGGTTTTGGTGACTCTGGCTAAGTCAGAAGGGTGATAATGATTTGGGTTTGAGGCAAGTTGGGTTTGAGGAGGCAGTAGGTGCACGTCCTGGAAGTGGCCTACCAGTGGGTAGCTGAATGAGCCCTCCGGGGTAGGGCCAGGGAATGAAGAAAGGTCCATAAACAAAGGGGAAGAGATTAGTAGAACTTACTAGAAGATAGTACCTACAAATCTGAATGTGGCCTGAGCTGGTTCCTGAGCTACCAGCTTTGTGCCCTGGGAATGCTTTTCTTCCTCATCACATCAGTGCAACTAGACTAGACTAGCTTTACCCACATTCTGTTTACATCAACCCTTCAGCAGAGTAATCTTACAAACAAATTAACTTAGGTGTATACAAATTATTTCTTATCTTCTGGAAGTTTAAACAGGTGTGATAAGCAACTAATGTTACCCTAACAATGAGTGAAGAGGAAGAACTCATGGTTTGAATAAGCGTGGGTGATTTTTGTTTAGGGACCAGTAAAAACACTTGAACACACTGAGGGAAGTTTGTTTGTTTGTTTGTTTGTTTTCCTCCTTTGTTCAGCTGAGCTTCACACTGACCTGAAATAGATCATACAGGATCTGTGGAAAGAACTGTCTTTATCAGAGGGAAAGTGTGCTCCACTGGCCATCAGTGCTATGATTCCTTACCCTCTGAGAAGGCAGATTGTGTAGACTGATATGTAGAAAGCCCTCTCGCAGCAAGAATTGTGTTCCATGAGCACCATTTAAAGGAACGTGTTGATTGTGGGTACTTGATTCTGAAGTGGTCAGGGAGGAAAAGCATTGTTTTCAAATGGCTAATGCAAGAAAACTGTTCCTCTTCTCTCTCTCTCTCCACAGCAATCCGGGGACCCACGACATGTCCCAGCTATAGTGATGCTCATTACCTTTCTGCTCCTGAATCGCACCTGTGCCTCAGACTTTCTTTCCCAAGCTTGAGACTGCATATAAACTGGGATGTGTGAAAGCAGGAAACAAAGCTAGTGACAGCTGAGAGGCCCATGTCTGGGTAGAACCAGGTCCACGATGCTGCCTCTCCCGTGGTCGGGAGTTCAGCGGCAGGGACTCTGCTGATGTGCCAGCACCATCCTTCTGTTTGTGCTTTAAATGGCACAGCGTTTGGTCAGCACATCTGAAAAGAAAGTTGTGAGAAGCAAAGCCCATGGCCACGTTCCCCTGCCAATTATGTGGCAAGACCTTCCTCACCCTGGAGAAGTTCACGATTCACAATTATTCCCACTCCAGGGAGCGGCCGTTCAAGTGCTTGCAGCCTGATTGTGGCAAAGCCTTTGTTTCCAGATATAAATTGATGAGGTGAGAGGCTTTAGCAAAGGTATGCACTTTTACAAATACATTTGAATGGCTTTTCTAGCTCCCAGACCACACGATGCAAGGGGAAAGGGACCCTGGCATACGGATGCGTTTTAGCCTTTGAGGGATTTTTTAAAGCTGCATCCTGTGATTCCTGTGGTTGTATGTGACGGTCTTGTTGCGCAGTGTCAGTTCATTCTTTCAACAGAGATTTCTTGTGCACCTACAATATACCAGGCCTCTCCCCATTGCTGGAGCAATAGGAAAACAACTAAAATGCAACCTCCGTGCTTTGACAGAGCTATACAGGTGGAAGAAGTTGTTCTCACTGCTTGAAGAAACTTGGGAAGGCTTCTCAGATGGGGGCAATCTTAACCTGTGACGCAATGAAAGAGGAGGAGGTGGAGCGGAGATTCTGGGAAAGCCATAAGTCTTGGCCTTAAGGCACCCATGTACCAAGGGTACTGCCCAAGGAGGTGCAGGCGAGGCGCAAAGTGCAGGCAGGAAGGAAGTCACGTATAGCAGGCCTCACCTCTGTCTGAGAGGGTTTGTCTCATTCAGGTGTGTAAGTAGTGAGGCAATATGATTCATTTAGTATTCTAGACAGAGGACTCTGAGGAAGTGGCACGTAGGCTGATGTGAAACCTGCTGTCAAGTCTAGGGATGAAATGCAAGGGTCTGGGCCAGGTCCTGAGAGTGCAGCTGGGAGGAGACAACCCAAGTGTGAGTTTCTGGAACACAGTTTCTCAGCGTGGGTGGAAAGCCACCCTCGTAAGTGGAGTTCAGGTGGGTATGCAGGGCAGAGCAGGTGCATCTCATCAGAGTTTTAAAGGCATCCATGGCGCATGAAAGGACAAAAACCACTACTTTTGAGTCTTGAAAAAAAAATTACATTTAATCTGAATTATTTATTGAATGCCTGTTAGGTACCTGCTTCCATGAGGGAAATGAATATAGTAGGTATAGTTTCTGCCCCCAGGGGATCTTTTCACTATCACAGGAAAGACTCCACATACACGCAGTGGCTGCGCTGCAGGGTTCTGGAACTGGTAATGAGCATGGTGTGTGTTGTGTCTGTGTTCACTCAGAGCCACACTCACAGAGCACCCACTCAACACGTGCTGTGTTTGATACTGGTGAAGGGAAATGCACCATTTGCCTTTAATTTTATGAAATAAAGTTTCAGATTTGTCCACATACAAATGCCCAGAGAGAGACAGGTTTTAGCAAGTGAGACTTTCCATCTGAGTGGTAGTACCACAGACCACGTTATTAAATCTTGGAGTGACCCTGGAGGAAGGCACTTGAAAGACTTGAAAAGATACAAATTATGCTCCTGGCCCTTAAGAATACCACTGTGATACATAATGAAATATAATAAGCTGATTTTAAAAATTAGCCTGTAAATGCTTAGATATTTTAAAATTCTCAAGTGTCCTCTGTACATGGCCCCCCTCCAGCTGTCACAAGTAGAAGTATTGAGTGCCTATCACATGCATGATTTTGTTGCAGGGCTCCGTGTTTTGCATGAAGCTTCTTGTGTGTGCATGGGGTAAGCATCCTTACCCAAACATGAGGGCACCCCTGGCTGCACCTGTGCCACAGGGAGGACACTAAAACTGTGGATAAAGACCGAAACACATAGAAGGATACATGTTTAGAAAAGCAGAATTAGTGGAGTAGAACTGTTGTGATTACAGTTGACCCTTGAACAACATGAGTTTGAGCTGCATAGGTCTGCTTATATATGAATTTTTTTTCGACCAAATGCAGATTGAAAGTACAGCATTTGCAGGATGTGAAACCTGTGTATACCGAAGGTTGACTTTTCACACACACATGTTGGACATGCGCATGAAAAGTATAGGGTGGATCGCAGGAGTACCTGTTTATTTGGGTAGGACGGCATAGAGTCAGTCCCCTGCATGTTCTGAGAAAGAATTTACGATGGTAAACTGCACTGAAAAAGAAGTCTTAAGTCATGTTTAGAATGTAGTTGTTCTGAGCAAGGAAAATGGCTTGTTCAGTTCAGGACATAAAGAGAGGCAAAAAAGGGAAGCAGTCAGGGTACTTAAGAACCACCTTCCCTTCCCCAGCCCCCAACATTTCTTGCCTCTCTTGCCTGAAGCAGTGATATCACAAAGGAATGGAAGAGTGTGAGATGGCAGGATGCTTTTGGATTTGCTTTAAGAAAAATGATAATGAGGCAGGATTCCATCCCGTTTGCTATCAGTTGCAACAGAAGCTCTATTTTATAAGCAGAGGTTGAAGGAGAAAATAACTGACTTGCGTAACCAGAAAACAGAATGTGGGTCCCAATACAGCAAATAATGAAACCAGTTAGATAGAGACAACAACAGGCAAGAAAAGATGATTTGGCAAGGGTAGAATTCCTAATGTGAAGAATCAACCCCTAAAGAATTCTGAGGTCACTGACCGTGATCCAGACGATACCCAAAGACAGTGGCATTGGGTACGGACTCTAGGACATACTAGAGCTGTTTTTATGGGTTATGAGGTAAGACAAAAAATTTGAGGGAAAGAAACAAGTCATTGATGTAATTTCAGCTATAAGATGAGAATGTTCTAGATCAGGATTGTTGCATAAGTAAGAAAGGGATAAATTAAAAGGGAAAGAAGTATATGCCAGGCAAGGGGAAGAGTCAAGAAATTCAGAAATGGGGGGCGGGGGGAGCTAGTGAAGTTTGGAAGGCAGTGGTCTTGCTGAAGTACTACTGGGGTGTCAGTCTGTGCCCCATTTATAGGTAGTATGGGTCTAGGACAGGAAAGAGTGGGTAGGAAATAAACCAGGTGCAGAGTCGTTAACCTGCATTGATCTACCCCTGCGTGATCAATGAAATCCAATCAGATGAAAATCCTCTATAATGAAAGGAAAGAGAGAGGCACAAACTGACCCCTAGCTATGGGGTCTCATTCACCAGTACTGGGCCAAAGAAAAGCTTCAAATACCAAGTGTGTAAACCAGCCCCCCTCATTTATTTATTTAGAACAACATGGCTATTCACTCTCTAACATGCTCTAAAACCCTTTCTCCAACTGTGCATTTCTTTAGATAGACCTAGAATGTGGAGACATCAGCACAATCTGGTTTCTCAGATGCCCATTGTATTGGTTCCTGTCCCTGCCTTAAGGCACCCACCATGTTATCATGTTATGTGCAAACAAGCCATGGTGCCTTGGAGGGAAGGGAAAGGATTCACACAGCAGACTTTTTTTTGAAGAGAGCAGGGAGGTATGAGGTTTTACTTTATTTTAAAGAAAATGCCAGTTTGATCCAGATCAGCTTTACATTTTTGGAACTGGCTTCCAGCAGACCTCTTAGTAGGGGCCTCCACCCAACAGCGGCTATTGTAGACACCTCACCAATTCTGGCTCCACAAAAGGAGCAGGAATAAACAGTATAGGGCAGATGTTGGCTGAAAGGTATAATTAAGTATACTTTTGACTTAAACATACTGTCTTAAAGAGATCCTCTCTCTTTTATGGAATGAGTTCTTGGAAATTCTTTAGTATCTAACATAAAAGCTCACAGCGTAGGATTGCACTTAAATTGTCAGTTGGGACAAGCTTTAGCCTCTCATGACAAAATCCCTAAAGGAGGTAACTGCCCTGAAGGATATAAAGCTACAAGTTGTAATGAAGTATTCTGTTTTATAGGAGATACTAACATATAGTGCTTGGTGTTTTAGTTATTAAAATGAACCTTTTTAGAGCTTAAGGATGACAAACTCGGGGTTTCCTTACACCACTGAATATTTTGTTTTTTGTTTTCTTTTTTGAGACAGTCTCACTCTGTCACCCAGGCTGGAGTGCAGTGGCACGATCTCAGCTTACTGCAACCCTACAACCTCCACCTCCCAGAGTGATTCTCCTCCCTCAGCCTCCTGAGTAGCTGGGACTACATGCGTGTACTACCACGCCCGGCTAACTTTTTGTATTTTTAGTAGAGATGGGGTTTCACCGTGTTAGCCAGGATGGTCTCAATCTCCTCACCTTGTGATCTGCCCACCTCGGCCTCCCAAAGTGCTGGGATTACAGGTGTGAGCCACTGTGGCCAGCCCCCACTGAGTTTTTAAAAGCCAACGTTGAGTTTAGATGTTAGCAGGTCAGTGGAACTATGAAAGAGATGGAATTGTGATGGCTTTCCATGACTAATTTCTGCTTTACAAATATAAAAGAGCTACTTTGAAATTCCAAATTCACTAGACAGACTACTTGTCCTTGAGGTCCTTGTTGAAGAAAAACTTACTCTTAGGAGTAGCAGCTTAGTAGTTAAAAAAAAAAAAAAAAAAAAAAAAATGTCTGTTTGAATTTTGTCAATTAAATTACCAGTGACCTTCAAGAAGTACGTTGAAGGTGTCTTAGAGGGAAAATCTGAGGTAATGGAGACTGGCAGTAACATTGGGGATGAGAGCTGATAGGCAAGCATTGAATGAAGGAAATCAAGACAGTGGTAAGATCTCATGGTGGGCAGAGGCTGGGGCTGAGAGAACAGGCAGTGGGCTGACATTTGGGGTCCTATTAGACACTTCTTAAGGATGGGTTTTTTAAGAGGCTCCTAAGAGTTATATGTCCATGGCCTGAACTTTTGGTCTCAATCAACAGAAACATCAGAACTAGAAACAGTAACCTAAAACTGGGGCATTACACGGTTCTGGGTAGCAGGCAAATTGAGTCACTTGAATTTCCAAAGTATATAAAAGACCTCTTTAACCCCTTTCTGAAAAAGATTTTAAATATCTGCATACTTTGTTTAGAAATCTGTATACGTTAAGAAAACATGTTCTCTTAAATAATATTCTGGCCAGGCACGGTGACTCGTGTCTGTAGTCCCAACACTTTGGGAGGCCAAGGCGGGAGGATCAGTTGAGCCCAGGAGTTTGAGACCAGCATAGGCATATTGAGACATTGTCTCTACAAAGAAATTAAGGAATGGAAAAGAAAAATTAGCCAGGCCTGGTGGTGTGTGCCTGTTGCCCCAGCTACTTGAGAGGTGATGGTGGGAAGATTGCTTGAGCTCAGGAGGTTGAAGCGGCAGTGAGCCATGATGCACCACTGCACTCCAGTGTGGGCCAAAGAGTCAGATCCTGTCTCCAAAAACGTTTTATAGGTGAAAAAGATGCATTATGTCTTTGGTATGGCTTGCTTTTTTTAATCATGAAAGTTTATATATTTGGAAAATACAGAAAAGAATTTTGAAAATTATACCAAGATCCAGAGAAAACTATCAACACTTTGATATAATAGTGTTTCTACACCTTTCTTCATCTCTTAAAACAGCTCTCTATTGCGAAATTTCTCCTTCTGCTTCTAGGCACATGGCGACCCACTCTCCTCAGAAATCTCACCGGTGCGTTTACTGTGGGAAGACATTCAACCGGAAAGACCACCTGAAAAACCACCTCCAGACCCACGACCCCAACAAAATGGCCTATGGGTGTGACGAGTGTGGGAAGAAGTATCACACCCTGCTGGGCTATAAGAGGCACCTGGCCCTCCATGCGGCCAGCAGTGGCGACCTCACCTGTGGGGTCTGTGCCCTGGAGCTAGGGAGCACCGAGGTGCTGCTGGATCACCTCAAATCCCATGCAGAAGAGAAGCCCCCTAGTGGAACCAAGGAAAAGAAGCACCAATGCGACCACTGCGAAAGATGCTTCTACACCCGGAAGGATGTGCGACGCCACTTGGTGGTCCACACAGGATGCAAGGACTTCCTGTGCCAGTTCTGTGCCCAGAGATTTGGGCGCAAGGATCACCTCACCCGGCATACCAAGAAGACCCACTCACAGGAGCTGATGAAAGAGAGCCTGCAGAACGGAGACCTTCTGAGCACCTTCCATACCATCGCGCCTTCATTCCAACTGAAGGCTGCTGCCTTGTCTCCTTTCTCTTTAGGAGCTTCTGCCCAGAACGGGCTTGCAAGTAGCCTGCCACCTGAGGTCCATAGCCTCACCTTTGGGCCCCCAGAACAGGCTGCCCAGCCTATGCAGCCGCTGCCAGAGTCCCTGGCCTCCCTCCATCCCTCGGTAGCCCCTGGCTCTCCTCCACCTCCCCTTCCCAGTCACAAGTACAGCACCACTGCTACCTCATATGCCCCACTTGCAAGCCTGCCCCTCAAGGCAGATACTAAAGGTTTTTGCAATATCAGTCTGTTTGAGGACTTGCCTCTGCAAGAGCCTCAGTCACCTCAAAAGCTCAACCCAGGTTTTGATCTGGTTAAGGGCAATGCTGGTAAAGTAAGCCTGCCCAAGGAGCTGCCTGCAGATGCTGTGAACCTAACAATACCTGCCTCTCTGGACCTGTCCCCACTGTTGAGCTTCTGGCAGCTGCCCCCTCCTGCTACCCAAAATACCTTTGGGAATAGCACTCTCCCCCTGGGGCCTGGGGAATCTCTGCCCCACAGATTAAGCTGTCTGGGGCAGCAGCAGCAGGAACCCCAAATTGCTGTGGGCACCGTGAGCCTGGGTCAGCTCCCCCTGCCCCCCATCCCCCATGTGTTCTCAGCTGGCACTGGCTCTGCTATCCTGCCTCATTTCCATCACGCATTCAGATAATTGATTTTTAAAGTGTATTTTTCGTATTCTGGAAGTTGTTTTGAGAAGCATTTTAAATGTCAGTTACAACACGAGAAAGATTTGGAAAACGGGACTGGGACTATGGATTATTCAGTGATGACTGGCTTGAGATGAGAGAATTCTCAAACTGCATGTATTGTGCCAATCTGTCTTGAGTGTTCATGCTTTGTACCAAATTTAACGAATGCGTGTTCTGTAATCAAACTGCAAATATTGTCATAATCAACATCCAAAATGACGGCTGCTATATATAAGTGTTTGTCATATGGAATTTATCGTAAGCCATGCTCATCATAATGTTAACTAAATAACTTTACGTGGCACTGCCTAGTAAGGGAACTATGGAAAGGTTTGGATTTCTCCAAATTGGGAGAATTTTAAAAACAAGAAAATAACCTTTATATGGCATATTATAACTAGGCTGTGTATTTCTTTTCAGGGATTTTTCTACCTTCAGGGTTGGATGTAGTTTAGTTACTATTACCATAGCCAACCTGTAGTTTTGCATATACAATTTCTTGTGGAGCATTAGAATTCTCCATTTTACAGAAGCATTTTAAATGTAGTCTGAATATTTTTCACAAGATGCTGCAATGTGAGTTATCACTTCATTTATCTTAAAGACTAAACTGGTTGTCAGTTACATCTGACAGAAAAAAAAAAAAAAATCACTGTGTAACCAGATTAAGTGGTAAAATAATCCAGGCGTCAGTCAAAGGCATTTTGCTGACTTTAATATTGATTATATTTTTAACAGGAATTTAAGAAAATGTTACTGGAATTAAAAAAAATATATATTAAGAATTTTCTTTGCTCTGTCTAGCTTAAACTACTACTCAAGCTGCTTAAGTTCCTAAGTATTGTTTTTAATCACCAATAAATAAGTGCTTTTGTAATTCATCAGTTTAAGTCATTATTAGCTTTTATTCAAAGAAGATTATGTTTTACAATGTAACTATAATCTCTTTAATTTGCTATCTTATTAATGAGTTTTAAAGATGTAACACCTAACCTTTTTAAAAGCTCCATTGTCTTGTTTTTAGAGGCTTTCTTTTTCCATAAACATGTATCTTGCATTTAATAAAGTTTTCAAATCGTGCAATTTGGCTTGACTAATTAATTTCTCATACAGCTCCACCTGTGTTAACATGAACTGCATACACTCAGATCAAGATAGAAAACACTTCCGGCTCCGAGCTGGCTCCCTCACGCCCCCTCCTGGTCATTACTTCCCCCATGGAAACTACTGTTCTGACCTCTACTGAGCATCTATTAGGAACTTTACTTTTTTTGAGTAAAATAATTATGAGTTAAGATAGTTTATATGCTTCAGTTAAATTCATAGCACTAAGATCTTATTTCTAAAAACACTATTTTAAATCCTTCTTTAATGTGACATAATTTATTTCGAATGTGTAGATTAGAATATGTCTACCAGAGGAGTTTAGTCTAATTTGGGCTACGATGATCCACTTTTATATGGTGTTTACCATTAATTTCTAGCCAAATTAGAAATTTACTTATTTCTTATTGGGATTTCCTCAAAGTATTGTGCCCCTTATATCTGACACACCTGTTTCTTTTTGTTTTACCTCAAAATAGGGTGAGGGTAGGTAAAGAAAGGAAAGACAAGTTTGTCTATCCAAGAAGCCCATTGGTCAAATGTGAGAAACCCTGACCCACTCACAGTCCTTAACAATGATGCTGATGATGGTGTAAGGGGCAAACAGCTACCCGGGGTTGGTACTGAGAAGGAAGCTGAATCTATGAGACCCAGCTGCCAGACAGACTCGGGTCTTTAAACTACAGTGGAACCTGCAGGGAGGAAATGAGACAAAGTGATATATAAATTATTCCATTAGAAGGAGTCCACTGCTCCGGGATGTTTAAGTCAGTTCCCATATCCCCTCTCTTTGTTCTCAGATGGAAAGCAATCTCCTAGGGCACAAGGTGAAAGAGGAGTAGCTCATCTCAACTAAAACCTCCCAAGATCCATTTCTAGAAGCTTCCACAGATACTTATACATGGCTTACTACTGTCTCTTGTCAGTTCCACAACACAGACTTGTTTTTCCTGAACACAGAACATAGCATTTGGAGTTTAGTCCCCAAATTACAGACCATAAGACTTTCAGATATTTTACTTAAATTTGGACAGAAATCAATGGTTTAATTGTTCTAATTAAAATTTTTTGAGGTTAAGAAAAAGTTCTTGAATTTAAAACTACAAGTTAAGTATAACTGACTCTACAAAAAGAGGTCTATTGACCCTTAAGATTGCAAAGAGGCTGGGCACAGTGGCTCATGCTGGTAATCCCAGCACTTTGGGAGGCCAAGATAGGCAGATGGCTTGAGCTCAAGAGTTCAAGACTAGCCTGGCCAACAGTGAAACCCCATGTCTACAAAAAATATTTAAAAATTAGCCGGTTATGGTGATGCAAGCCGGTGTGTTCCCAGCTACCTGGGAGGCTGAGGTGGGAGGTATTGCTTGAGCTGAGATCACGCCACTGCACTCCAACTTGGGTGACAGAGTGAGATCCTGTTTCCACAAAAAAAAAAAAAAGACTGCAAAGAGAAGGGAGAGTCACCTCCCAACAGAGCAGAGCTCTGTATAAATCAATGCTAAAGAAATGAACAGATGGCTTCCGCTTTAGCCATGATAAATAAATGGCTTGAGGCCACTGAGAACATTCTTTCCACAGGATGAAAGATTTCTCATCCAGTATTTCCCCCTAAACATGGTCTGTGTAACTGGTATATGTAAGACAATTCTACACAGTATATACATAAACACTTAGAATAAGCACCATAACTACAATACTAATGCCAATATATGCAGAATGAAGCTAGTTAAAAAAAAGATTTTCCTAGTAAATAATGTTAGTACTCCAATTACTAGTCTACTAAAAAGGTTCTAATGTCAAAGCAACATTGTCCTTAAAAACCCATTTAAAAACTTCAAGTGAATTTGAATAATGCATTATACGATCCATGTGTTTAACGGTTTTGTTTTGAAAATTTCAAAGGGAGTAAATAAAAATTTGAAGCTAGTTTTACTTGTTCTAAGTGATGCTTCAAGAAGAATCAAGGGTGTATAAACAGACATCACATCTACGATCCTTCTCCTTAGGTGGCATTCCCCGGTATGCAGCCATCCAGGCTGATGGGTTTCAGGGAGCAGCCTGTCTGAAAACAGAAAGAAGAGGTGTTTATTTTAGAAAGTCATTGTTCCCACACTGAGAATGCTAAGTAACAACATAGCGTTCTTGAGACTTTTAATTGTTTTGCAAATAATTCACACTCTCAGGGGTCTGTGCTTTTTGAGAGTAAGGTGCTTAGAAAAAGGGACAAGGCAGTAACCTTCCACGTCAAAAGTGAGGGATCATTCCCTTTCCTATTGAGTCATGAATCAAAAACTGAATATCCTCTTCAAACTGTGTATTTAACAGAAGAGTTCGTTTCAAGAGCATACATTTTGTTAACTCAACTCAGAGTTTGCCCAAATGTTTCTTCAGTCTGCCTACTATGCATCCATTCTCTTAAAAGTCATTAACTGGTCAGCAACATCTGGATTAAAGGTGATATATTTTTTTCTTACCTGGCTTCTAGGAGTTAATCTTTTTTAGAAGATTTACTTAATCCTTGTCTGAGTTTTGCTCCAGAAGCAGGGTCCATAGCTGATCCTTTGGAAACATAAACAGATTTGTTATGTCAAAGCAGAACATTACCAAGGAAAAAAGACATGATTGTGAAATCCCCACATGGGTTCAAAAGTTTCGATTTTTTTTCTTTTTGGTGGGAGGTAGGAGAGTGTGATGGGAGGACAGTGAGGGTGGGGTAGCTATAGACAAATACCCACTCTCTGGCCTGAACCAAAGAAAAACAAGGGTTGCCTCAGGTGCTTTCTCTCCTCTGCCCCAGCCTCTGTTTACTCAAGGACTTTGGACTGCACCTCAGGTGACCCCCCCTTTACACACCAGGACTCATGACATCCCCTCTGCTAGTGCCCCAGCTTTCAAAATGGACCCTGATATTTTGTATCTTCAAATTCTTTGCTAGTTCTCATACGAGCAGATTTTGCTAAGCCTTATGGAAGCTTAAGCTGCCTTCCCTGCTTGGGGTTATTTATGTGATAAATGGATTCATTCCACAAACAGTATTTTTTCCCTTGAGCCCAGCGGCACTGTTATGTATGGAGAGACACAAGTTTATGTGTGGCGCACCATAGCTTGGTTTAGTTTTGACCACATCGTAGGGGAAAGGATTCTCAGAGATTCTTTTTTTGTTAAAAAATAAAAAAGGAATACGTTTCCTCTGTCCTTTCTACTCAATGTTTTATGAAGGAGCAATAACAAGGAAATTGTGAATCAAGCTTTCAAAGGACATAGGAATAGAAAGAGCTTTCAGCGTTAGTTTTACTGAAACATAAACAGATTTTACTTCTGCCGAAGAACCCACAACTGACACTTTCATGCACAGTAGATTTGCTACACAACTAAATCAGTTAAAGAATGGAATGCTGGTGCAGGTAAGATGTTTAACTTGATAAAAACCCACTGGCTCTGGAAGTAAAGTAGAGCTCTCACCAGCAAAACTGTACAAATGCAGTCCACTGCTAAATACACAAAGCAATGCAGGTCTAAATCCCAGAACTACATGCTCATAGTAACATTAGTCTCTGTACGAAGATCTGGGAGAAGCAGCTTCTTGGCAGTACCTTCCAGTACATTCATCATTCATATAAACAAAAGCCTCCAGAAAACAGCCACCAGTATATATTTGCTGACTAGGCTATACATTCATTTCCCAACTGAACATTAGAATCTTTTAGGAATGTAAGAAGAGCCACATCTTTTTCCAAAACCATTCCAAATATGTAGCAACAGCCTTAATATTTATATTTTTGGACCCATTTATCCCAAAGCATACAGAGCTTTGGCAAAAAGCTCTGCCCCCTCCTATGAAGTTGCTTGTCTATGTTGCTTAACCTCTCTGTGCTTTCCTCATCTGTAAAATAGAGATATAAAGAGTAGACCTCCTCACACTATTATGAGAATTAAATGAGTTCACATGCGAAGGGTTTGGAAGAGTGTTCAATGTAAGTGGGGGCTACTATCCATGAACAAGACTTATTCAGTATAGCAAACAATTAGAGGCACTCTACCTGCTCACCACCAGGAAATCAGCTAAATGATTATGTTGTATTCCTGTGATATGATACTACGTTTTCAAAGAAACTCTTCTGCCATAGGAAAATATTCAAAGTGGGATAGGTGAAAAAAAAAAATCAGGATGTTTAACTGTACAGAGACCATGATTCTAGGTTTGACAAAAGAAAAACAGAGAAGGAAGAGTATGAAAAGGAACAAAAATCAATAGTGGTTATGTTAAGGTGATGGAATTATGATTTTTAAAAATTCTTTTCCCTCCATTTTCCAGTATCTCCTACAATAAGCATGAATTTCTCATATTGTTTTCAAAATGCTATTTCTCAAAAGAAATTTTAGGCAGACTAACTTAAAGTGGCTAGAAACAAAAAGTCCCCACCAGGAGCAGTGGCTCTTGCTTGTAATCCCAGGCATAGGTGGGCAGATCACCTGAGGTCAGGAGTTCGAGACCAGCCTGGCCAACATGGTGAAACCCCATCTCTTATAAAAACATAAAAAATTAGCCAGGAGTGGGGCGGTCGCCTATAATTGCAGCTACTCAAGAGGCTGAGGCAGGAGAATTACTTGAACCTGGGAGATAGAGGCTGCAGTGAGCTGAGATTATCCCATTGCACTCCAGCCTGGGCAATAGACCAAGACTCTTAAAAAAAAAAAAAAAAAAAAAAGTCCTAGGCCATCATAACTGCATAGTGCATGCAATTAATTGCCTGACAAATACAGACACAAGCACCAGAGAATGTGGCACCAGTGTCAGTGTAAATGACATGAAATCTGAGTGCCTCACCTAATGTTTACAACCCTACTTGCTCTAGTGCCAGCCCCCTAATCAAACTTTAATCTCTATTTACTCCCCAACCCCTTCTTAAGCTTTTGCCAAATGGATCATTTGTTTTCAGAGTATGTCCTCTGCATTCTCATTTTCATATCCTTGTTCATTCCATCTTCACCTTTTCTCTACTGGTCAAAATCTAGCTGATTCTGAAAGCTCATTCCAAATGCCTCCACCTCCATGAAGCATCCCCTCTCTCAGAATGTTACCTCCTCCATAAAGACTTCTGGGCAAAGCTGATCTCGTTCTTGTGTTCTCTGAGGACTGTTTATATCTCACAGTTAAATATTAGACAAAATTACTGGCTGTCCCTTGCCCTAGACTTATAAGGATCCACAGGCATAAAAAACAACCATGCACAATACTTATGTGCTCAATGAATAAAGTCTTGTGCGCACTCAAGGCAGTTGCTTAACTGGCATAGTACCTTCCTTTAATACCAGTTGCTGTTTTGTATTAGAAGTTTTCCTGTGTATGCTATATCTTCTCATAAGACTCTGGGATCAATAAGGCTGGTGACTTGCACACACATGTATCTCCTCTGGCATGAATTTTAAAAGGGTTATATGTAGGAGGTACCAAATGCTTATTTTACTCAAGAGAGTTAAAGAATGAAGGCCAGAATTTTAGGAGGCTAACTGCCATCTAGATAAAAGACAACAACTGGATTTATAATATATGATATAACACATGATATATAATCTATATTTATAATATGTGATATAATATATGATATCATAAATAGACACTATTTAATACAGGGGCAGCAGCTCACACGTGTAATGCCATCACTTTGGGAGGCCAAGGCAGGAGGATTGCTTGAGCCTAGGCATTTAAGACCATTTTGGGAAACATAGTGACACCTCACTTCTACAAATAAAAAAATGATCTGTTTATGGTGGTGCATGCCTGTGGTCCCATATACTCAAGAAGCTGAGGCAAGAGGATCACTTGCACCCAGGAAGTCAAGGCTATAGCAACCTATGATCAAGCCACTGCACTCCAGCCTAGACAACAGAGTGAGATCCTGTCTCAGGAAAAAAAAAAAAAAAAAAAAAAAAGTGACACCAAGTGACCTACTAATTGTCAATCTGAGTATATTAATAGCAATAGCAAAAAAAAACCCCAATAACAACAATTTTTAAAGACCTTTATTTTTATGGGAATAGCATTGTATAATGAAAAGAAGAAAGAGAGACTCTCATGAGCTGCCCTGTCCCCTGTCACAGAAACCCAGGCAAACCCTCATTGGACCTGAGGACAGGCCCACCCACCCTGCTGGCACCAACAGACACTGACTTGGGGGATGGAGACTGAGCAGCCCTGACCACCACAGTCTGTGCTTGTGCCCACCATTGGGAGGCTGATGACAGGCTTGACCCATCTGGAATCATGCCCACCAGCACTTCTGTGCATTGTTGGGGCCTGGGGATCAACTCACCCTACCTGTGATCAGCTTCTACCCACTCGTACTAGGTTCCTGAGGAAAAGCCTGCTCAGCCTATTGGCACCTGCATACCTCATCCATGAACTTGGAGACTGACCCACCCTGCCCACCACTACTAGCATCTGCAGCATACACATACTCCTCCTGGGAGACTAAGGATGGGGCTGCCCAGCTTACTACCACCACAACTAGTGCCCTATGGATGCTGCTTAAGAGCCAGAGGTATTCAGACAACAAGTAGCATAATGAATAAAACAGTACCTCACATCTCAATAATAATGCTGAAAGTAAATGGCCTAAATGCTTCACTTAAAAGGTAAAGAATGGCAAAATGGAGAAAAAAAAATTCACAAACCAGTATCTGTTGTCTTCAAGAGACTGAGCTAATACATAAGGACTCGCATAAATTTAAAGGAGTAGAAAAAGATACTCCATGCAAATGGAAACCAAAAGTGAGCAGGAATAGCTATTTTCATATCAAACAAGAGTCACAACAGTTAAGAGAGACAAAGTAGACATTATACAATTATACAAGGATGATTCCAACAGGAAAATATCACAATCCTAAGAAAAGAGATGCAATACACTAACAGTGGGAACTTCAGTGCTCAACTGACAGCACCAAACAGATCATGAAGACAGAAAAATCAACCAAGAAGCACCAGACTTCATCACTTTAGACCAAATGGACCTTACAGGTATTTACAGAATATTCTACCCCATAACTGCAGAATATACATTCTTCTTATCAGTGCATGGAACATTCTCCAAGATAGACAATACACTACATAACAAAACAAGGCCTCTGTACATTTTAGAAATTAAAATCATATTAAGTATATTCTCAGACCACAGTGGAATAAAATTAGAAAGTAATTCCAAAAGAAACTCTCAAAACTATACAAATAAATGAAAGTTAAACAACCTGCTCCTGAATGATTTTTGGGTCAATGACAAAAATTAAGACAAAAATTTACATATTTGAAACAAAAGGAAATGGAGACACAACATAGCAAAAACATTGGCATACAGCAAAAGTAGTGTTAACATTAAACACCTACATTAAAAAAAGAGGCTGGGCACAGTAGCTAACGCCTGTGATCCCAGCACTTTGGGAGGCTAAGCTGGGTGGATCACCTCAGGTCAGGAGCTTGAGACCAGCTGGCCAATGTTGTGAAACCCTGTCTCTACTAAAAATACAAAAATTAGCCGGGCATGGTGGCAGATGCCTGTAATCCT